ATCCCCATAGGCTAAATTTACCTGAAATTTACCAACTATAGTAAAACCAATAATGATTGAGGGTAAAGCGCGTTGTCATATTTAAATTTTATGTTACCAGTTTATAGCAGAATCAAAATATAGTAAGCAGTAGAGTTGTAGGTTGTGGCAAATTATAGATAATACACAATACTAGTACGATTAAAAGGTATTATNGCATGTTTTAAAAGAGGAGCAAAAAATGTGGGACGTAGACAACCGTATTGAACACAATATTGAACCAATCATAATTCACTTTGATGATAGCGGTAGCAACAGTGACGAATCTGAGGTTGAAGATTAGACGAAAATTTGTACATTTACATTTATATTATATTCTATTATCAAAAATTTGTAATTTGTATTTTCTAGTACCCCTGACGATGAGTTTAAGTTACTCGAAAGCTTGAGAATAGTTATAAAGAGTTCACTTATCAATTGCTGCAACCCAATAGTGAAAAAAAGTTATATATATATATATATTGTGTTTTTTATTAATATTGTTAATTTATTTGGTACCTACTATAATTACCATGATTATTACTCCGTTTTCATAAGGCCCACCTAATGACTACAACGATTAGGTAAATTACGATATTGCAAAGTTTTAATGAAATAAATAAAAGATGTGTATGAATATTTTAACTAATTGTACTAAGACTTTTTCTTTCATTCTTAACCCTCTCAAAAATTAATAAGCACGCCCCCGATTTGCTGTCAACTGGGCTTACTTCTACTCTCAATCATTATTGGTTTTAGTATACATCTAATTTATGATCATCTGGCCCTCGCACAGGCTCACACTCTATAATTTTATTCATATATCCATTAGGTAATTTTTAGAAAGGAAAACAGTTTACATCTGCCATAGAGTCTACAAAAAATGGATATTTACCATCTATAAGCATATCAACATACCAGTGATCTTTATTACTTAAATAGATTTGTCCAATGAATTGGTCTATACTATCCAAGTTTACCTGTGAACCTTCACCTCCTACTGCTCCGATTCTTTTCTTTCTGCAAACCACACTCCAGTGTCCCTTCTTTCCGCATGTTCTGCATACTGAATTCTTGGCTGGGCGCCTATCCGGGTCCACACAACCTGTTATAGCACAGTACTTGCATTTGGGTTTTTCCAGTACTCCTGATTTTTCTTGTTTTCCACTATCCTTGTATCCATCAGTTTTAGCCTTATAATCCTTCTTTTGAAACTTCTTGACGTTATGATGAACAACTGCTACTTCTGGATATTTTTCTTGTCTTAAAATTTTGTTTTGAGAATTTTGTAATTCGGCCTGTCTAGCTGTTAAAACTGCGTTAGCTAAACTCAAATTACTTTGTAGTTGTAGACGTTCGCTAACCTTTATATCAGCTATTCCCACCACAATCCTATCTCGGATTAACTCATCTTTGAGGGCTCCATAATTACAATGTTCTGCCAAGGTGTGAAGCGACGTTATGAAACTATCGACACTTTCCCCCGGTCTTTGGGTCCTCGCATTAAATTTGTATCTTTCGAATGTTACATTTCGTTGGGGTATAAAATGCGAATCAAATTTAGCTAGAATATCATGAAAAGTAGTGTTTACTCCGGCTAGTTAGAATTGAATGAGTATTTCCTCTGCCTCGCCGCCCATGAGGTAGACTAGCATATCTATTTTCTCTTCATCAGTTTTCTTGCCAAAACCACTCACTGACATAAAACGCTCAAACCTCTTTTTCCATTGTGGCCATTCCTGTGGTTTGGTAAAGTTAAATTCACTGGGAGGCGAAACATTCGCAAACGTTTCTATCCTGGGCACCTTATCCGCCCCTGCTCTATTATCGGTTCTGGTAGGCATATTTCTTTCCTTCTTTTTGCTTCGCTGCAACCGTCAACTCTGGCACAAGATGGCTTCTCTCGAACTCCGTGAGTTACAATATTGAAACGAAAAAGATTTGAAGAGTTTTGAAGAGTTTCTTGATTCGATACTCTCACTTTTAATTGTGAGTCACCGCTGCCACCATGTCGTATCATGCAAATAAAACTCTCGAGATCCTTTATTTGGGTTTATTTGCTTCTCAATACTTTATAATTTGCTCACCAGAATATATCACATCGACCTCCCCTTCTTGACCTCTGTCGAAGCTAGGAACATCACCCAACAGAGTTACAGACACAGGACACCAACAACCATGGAGTATGTAGAACATTACATTACAGACTCCATAATGAAAATTTCAAACAATCTTGGAAGTTTACTTCATATACACTTCTCAAGGCTCGTTTCTGTAAGACTAATACACTTTCTAATAGCATCTGACTAGCAGAGCCCCAGAGTGGTATCCCATTATCGTTAATCGAATAGTAGGCAGTCAATGCTGCAGATAATCTGTGCTCACGGGATATTACATTTATTGTCCAAGAGCCTGATGATAATTTCTTTTTCAAAGCGGTTATATGTGATTCGAAATCTAGGTTATTGAAAATTTATAGTCCTAGAAATTTTATTACTGGCTTACTATTGATCAGTTCATTACCAGATTTTATCTTGAATTCCTCAATTCAGTTCGAAAGTTATTAGGTTTATTTTGAATATATTTAGCATCAGCGTGTTATCATCACATCAAATTTTCATTTTTTCGAAATCAGAACTAAGACACTTGACAAAAGCAGCACGATCTTTATTGTGCCAGAGAATTGTAGCATCATCTGCAAACAATGTGAATCTTAAAAAAATATTGATACAGGAAAATAATTGGGGACATAACTAATTCTTGTGGGCACCACGCACAATTATTTCACTTCCAGATATATTTCCACCAACTGTGACTCTCTGATTTCTACCAGCAAGGTATGAACTCTACCAATGCTATACCTCTAAATCCATAGTGGGAGAGCTTTTGCAGCAAAATTTCGTGACTTACACAGTAAAAAGCTTTGGGGAGGTCACGAAACACTGCGGCAGCCACATTATTCTCATTTAGGCTCACCTTTTCGAGAAAATTGAAAATAGCATCTGTGGTGTTTTTTTTCAAGTTGAAATTCAAATTGTTCATCAGCTGAAATTTCCACTCCAAGTTTCACCAATTTCTCATTATTTTTGACAATGTTCACAGAGTCAAGATGGATTTGAAGTTGTTCGAATCGTTAGTGGAACCTTCTTTATGAATGTGTATTATAATTGCAGACTTAAAACTAGAAGAAAATACACCACTGGCAAATTTATTATTTATGGTCAAAAATAAAGCAATAACTGCTTCATCTGGCAACTGCAGCAATGATTTTGACGATGAGTTGTCCCGCCCTGAGAAGTTTTGTTTTTATTTCAGTTGTTACTGATATCAACTCAGTCAAATCAGTCTCATACAAAACCAGAGAATTTAATTTATCCGAAGGGTTGGCAGTAAATTTTATATTATAGGTTTTTTGAGTGGCTATTGAGCAATAATGTTGTTCAACATACCTAGATTTATTTCAATTTCAGGTTAAATTCGCTTATTTTTTCTCCTGATATCGGTAATTATGTCCTACATTTCTTGTCCCGTTGCTATTGAATTTCTTGATGTTGTGCAAGCAATGTAGGCTATTTCATGCGTTGTTCATTCCTTTTGTTATCTACGGTTTTGTAGCTTTTTTTATTAGTTCCAAAGTTAATGCTTTATCGAATATTCCAATAACAAACTCTTGAAATAAATTCACTGGATCCTCTGTCTAAGATTCCAATCAAATTTTTGACAGAGGTTTAAAAATTGTGTATTGTTATTTTATTTTTTTTTCGTCCATATTTCTTCTCTTTATGAGTGATATCACTTTCGGAACTGTTCGGGATTGAACAAATAACAGCTTCATGATCTGATCATCCAGAATTGACAACAGAACTTGAAAAAACATCTTTAATATTCGTGAAGACATAGTCTATGATATCGAAAGAAATTTTAGAGATCTTCAGCTACAAATGATGATAGCTTTTGTAACTGGGATAACAAGTGTTCTAGTCTTTTCATGAAAAGTTCAGAATCCCTGTCGGAGGTCTGTAAATATACAAGACACATTTATTTTGAATGTATAATATGTATAATCGAGAAATCGAAATGCATCGAGCAGCTGTGCTCGTTCTCGAGCACAGCAGCTCGGGGATCTGTCTTCAGTGGAAGCAGTATTCCACGCACTCTGGAAGGATCAGCTTGTCTGAGACTGACTCCTACTCAGCGAGTCAATCTGTTGGCTCCTCTAGCAGTCGAGTAGATAGCAAAATCGTCATGTCATAAAGGATTATCCAGTCCTCAAATTGCGTTGAAATATAAGGCGAGGGTAGCCTGCGTAGTAGTATATTTTTTCTAAACCAATTTAGGAAACTTAATACTCCGAATACACAACGAATGGATCTTCTAAATGCAGAAAGGGGACGGCAGAAGACGTCACGACGAGACAGTGGATATCATCTTCAAGAAGGCGTCTCTCCCAGGACACACAGTGAATCCCAGAACAGCAGGACCATCAGGCTCAAGAACGGCCACGACAGCTCGACAATGCTCAGACAAAATCGTGGCTGAGAAAGGCAAACTGCACCAACAACCTTTCATTTTGGATTCTCACTTGCAAATATGAATTATCCATGATAATCACTGAAAAATTTTCACAAACATGTTTTATTCCTAGACGGGTTTTGCTAACACTGTAGCTTTACTGGTAGAAATGTGTTAGCGAAACGAATCTATAACTAAAAAAGTTTGTAAAAATTGCTTCATTATTATCATGGATTCATAAATGATTCAATAAACTTGTAAGCAGTTCTTCTTATGCCATATTCTTCCAATATCTGAAGCCTTAATCAGTGTCTGTTGACATGGACGTTGTCTCAATGTATGCCTCAAATATTATTCGAATTTTCAATAAATATACTAATTAAAATATTTATATGTATACCAATACCAAAAGTCACATTCAATAAATGAGTAAGTGTATGAGCAATATATGTTTCTAATGTGATACTAACCAAAAGCTTCCAAAATAGTATTGGCCTCTAATATTTGCTGTTCCACCCAAGTCGATACACCACTCGTTACTGAACAAAGATATTGTAAGATGAATCTGGTGGTTTCAGTTTTTCCAGCACCACTTTCTCCACTTATGACAAGGCTCTGGTTGTTGCATTCTTTTCCAGGAATGTCAGCTTGAAGTGAGGTATAAGCCGCTTCAGCTAGTGCAAATACATGAGGTTCGAGGCCTCGAAGTTTCCTACCTCGATATTTGTTGACGTATTTCTACAAAAAAAGGTTGACATTCAGAAGCTATTTAAAACTAATGATAAAATAGAATAGCGATAATCACTAATCATGTGATAAAGAAATATTTATCGTCAGCCAACAGACGGCATTAGATTTAGAATTGATACTTCAATAATCGTTTTAGTAGTTTATACGAGCATACTTTATTGAAAACACTTTTTCTTCACCAAAAAAATATGTCTCTCGAAGGGCGTTTCGCTAATTAAGAGATAAAACTAAAACTGTCATTTCGTTAGATTCAGTTTATTCCAAAGGCTCCAAATTCTTCTTATCAAGATTTGATACGGTTCAATCCAAATTTTTAATTTTCAACGATTTGTTGTCGAACCAGAATTTATTTCTTCTTCAATTTAATTTGTAACACCTTGTATGTTATGAGCCGTCATTGAGAAAACTATAATGACTTGATGAAAACAAACTCGAATCATTTTCACATCTCCCGCTTGAACGCCAGAATATAATGAAGTAGTCCTTCATTATATCCTGGAATATCATTTTCATGTCTATTTATAGTTTCCGTTCCGAAAAAACTGAAATGTAGGGAGAGTAGGAGAAGTATTCGAGATATGAATTTTTCTTTTTTTTTATGAGAATTTTCGATTGAGTCGGTTAAGAAAATACTTTTTGATTTTTGTTTACGAGAGAACTTAAAAAAAACAAAAAAGTTTGCCACAATAACCATTTTTCATCATTTATCTTTACTTTAATCCTTATCCAACTAAGACCTCAAATACATTGTGCATTTATTATACATCAATGCGATCCTTTACAGCATGTATTTTAAATGACTATTTCCGAAGATATCACAGATTTAAAATACAGGGACATAGTGATTGCGGCGGTACCGGAACACAGTGGTTGCTGCTGTACCGACGGCGTGTGCCTATAAAAAGCGCGCCGAAGGCCGCGCTTCGCTCTATAACACTTTGTGATTAGCAGCGATCACACGCGTTTATATGTATATTCAATATGAGCATTGCACCCGTGCGGAGCCGGGGCGGTCGCTAGTTTGATTATGAACTACTATTTCGTTCTGTCTATGGATCATTCAGATAGAACATACTTCACATGATTAAAAATCATAAAAACAGAACTGAAAAAACTTTTGACAATTGAAGACTTATAATTTTTTCCTGAACAGTTATTTCGCAAAATCATTGAAATTTCTCTCAGAAGAGGTATTGAATATAAAGTCAATTTCATTGATATGAAACATTTCATGAAAATCCAGGGTACAAAACAAGTACTGCTCTTGCACACTCTTCTCAACTCTCTTTTCACCAGAGTTGGCATGTTTGGTTTTTACTTTTAAATGGACACAATTTCAAAATGTGATAGGTTTTAATAAAAATAAAACGGAATAGTACAAGCAATCAAACTTTGACTGTCAGCGCCATACAATACAACTACATGTTGCCAAGTTGCCATAGAACTTAAAAAACAAAAACCTATTTTTCTGTTTCTTCTTCAGTACGAGAAGTAGAACATAAAGATAGTTCAACATCTTCTAATTTTCGAATCTAATACCTAATAACAACCAGAAAAATATTTTACCGAAGGTAAATATCAAACATTTTTACACACTAATCTATTACTGAATTTACCGAATATAGTTACACATAATGGCTTGGTTAAAATGTCCGTGATTTGTTCATGAGTTGAGCAGTACACGAGATAACAGTACCTTCTCTCACTTTTTCATTGATAAATTGATATCTTACGTCAATATGTTTTGATATTTTATTATTTTTCACTAAATGTTATGGTAATTTGATTGTCCACATTAAGAGTAACTTTGAGATCATGTCCTTTTAATTCTTGTATCAGGTATTTTAGATAGTTCTTTAACACAATCAGCAGCAGCGATATATTCATCCTCCGTACTGGACAACGAAACAATAGGATGCTTACGACTGCACCATGTTACTGGTCAATCACAGAAAAATATTACGTATCCAGTGGTGCTCTTTCAGGTTTTCACATCACCAGCAAAATCACTGTCACTGTAGACTATTAATTCATTCGGATAAGAGTCTCTATTATACTCTATACCATAATTTTTGGTTAGAGTACGTTTCATGTTTGATACATCTTGGTTTGTTGGTTTTTCCATGTTTCTGCTTCCATATCCAACAGCGAAAGCAATATCTGGTCGTGTTTTACTCGATGCATATAACAGACTTCCAACAAGCTCTCTGTAAGGAAAGCTGATATTGAGATTGTCTTCTTCCAAGTTAGCATTGCTAACTAATGGTGTTGCCATGTTGAATTTCTGACCAGTGTGAAGGCAGCCATGGGTTTCAGCCACGAATTGGGGGAATTTACCATTAACGAAAAGAAGTGCGCCAAGCCATCATTGGTCATTAAAATTCAAAGCTAGCCATGAAAAGTTGTCTTTTAGAACAATAATTGTTTGGCCAGCCATAGAAATTTTCACATGTAACGATAGTTTTCAATAATACCTTTACAGTCCTCGATTTTGTCGCGGAAAAGAACATCCCCTGCAACCCCTCCCGACTTTTTGATTGAAAATTCATATCTTTTGACAAATTCATGCTGCTGGGAATATTTTCACATAAAACGAAGGTATTCGGCTTATTCTATAATACCTTTATGGTCCTCGAACTCAGATAACCTGGAATGTGATCTGAATGCCACTTCCACATTGTTTTTTTTTAAGTTTAAATGCCAAAGATAAAGTGGACAAGTTGGAAAAATCTGGAGTTTATGAGCTAAGTGTCCGGAGTGTAATAGTGTTTATGTGGAACAATGCGGTCGAAATTTCCAAAAACGGTATGCTGAACATGAAAGGTCCTTCAGACTAGGAAAAAATGATTCGACGTTTTCCAACCATTCCTTAGCATGCAACCACAAGTTCCTGAATCTAAACGATACGGAAATTTTGCACTATGCAAGGAAGGGCTACAATCTCAATAATTTGGAATCCTTGAAAACTCACAAGCATAAACATTGCGGGTGCAACTTGTTAAATGATCAATTCGATTCAGTTTACTCACCGGTTTTCAAATTAGCATATCCACATTGTCACCAGTAAACAAAATTCAGGTACTCAATCAAGCTAAGTACTTCTATTATCAGCTACAGTGGTGTTATATAAGGGCTAATGTAATCAATCATTGTTAGTTTAATGTATAAGTTTGAAAATGTCCTTATAGGACGAAACTGCAATAACGTTAACTACAAATAAAAGTGGTAAAAAAAAACATAGAAAGTTTTAATTGAATTTTCTTCATTATGATTTCCTACCACGTAGTAACGGCTACATCCATTAATTTATTGAACAGCAAAAGTTGATCCATCTCATTGTTTACGATTCCTCAATAAATTTCACATTCGATTACTATTGAGTGATTCGATAAATTTTACAACGCTGTAAAGGGCTCAGTATGAATTTCAGGATAAGATAACGCTACTTTTTTTCTTACTTCTTATGCCGTTTCAGTTTTTGTTCATTCAGTAATGAGGTTTCGATTAAACAAGTAGGTACATGAATTAATCCGGTCCAAATTACTGAGCTGAGGGATGAATATACTGGAGTTTTTTCCCAACACCAAATCGTTATTTTTACACCTCGACACGTGTTTCGATCACCAAGTGATCATCTTCAAGAGGAAGATAAAACTAATAACTACACCTCGACACGTGTTTCGATCACCAAGTAATCATCTTCAAGAGGAAGATAAAACTAATAACTACTCAAAACTAAAGCTACTTATACTAATCAGGTACATCATACAGGTAGGTAATCAGTAATACCACCCATACAAGTGTACCACCCTAAATTAAAATCAGGTACATCATACAGGTAGGTAATCAGTAATACCACCCATACAAGTGTACCACCCTAAATTCATTTTACAATTGTAAAATTAATTTAGGGTGGTACACTTGTATTACTGATTACCTACCTGTATGATGTACATACCTAATTAGTATAAGTAGCTTTAGTTTTGAGTAGTTATTAGTTTTATCTTTCTGTTGAAGATGATCACTTAGTGATCGAAACACATGTCGAGGTGTAAAAATAACGATTTGTTGTTGGGAAAAAACTCCAGTAATATTCATTACTACACCAAAGGTTCCAAACAGTATATCACAAGAGCTGAGGGATAATAAATACTAGTATTAATTACAGTTAAGTAGTTCAGTAGGAACCATGAAACCTCATTACCGAAAGAATAAAAACTGAAACGGCAATGAAGTAAGTAAAAAAGCAGCGTTTTCAGTTTCTTATCATTTTATATGATGGAATTGATCGTTACTTGAAAATCCGTAACTAACGTATTCAAAAAAAGCTTTATTGTGAGATTTTCACTAAACGATCAGTAGTATGAAAGTTGACTTGTGGGCCTTGCCTGAAACTGTATATTGGCCAAACAGGGAGAACATTTTCCCAAAGAATTAAAGAACATAGAGATAGTTTTGTGAATAGAAAGACCAATTCCACATTTGCAAACCACCTTTTAGCAGAAGGACATGAGTTCAATTATGAATACGATGTGTTACATTTAGAAGAGAAGAGTTTGAACCTCAATCTTCTAGAAGGTTCAGAAATCAATACATTAAGGAATTCGGGTAATTTACAATTACAATTGAATAACTTCCTGTTACGAAATATTTTTTGAAATGTGGAAACTGGGACATAAACATCAGTGTGAAAGCAGCCAGGAGTTCTAGCCATGGATTTGTCGAAGCGAAACGGGATATCCGATAATCAGCGGCTCCCAAAATACGGACCAAATTCGTGGCCAACCATGAATTTACTTACAACCTGAAATTTATGCGATTGAAAACAAGTATAACAATAAATCCTTCATATCAAAAATTGTCGAGAATATCAAGTCATTAGAAATTGTTGGAATATATACATATGAGTTTAAAGAAAATCTATGACTCATCAAATCCATAACTTATTAAAATATTTCGTGGATGGAGATTTTTTTGGAAATGCATCC